GGATGCATTTATGTTTCGTATCAAAACGATCTGCACATATCTTTGTCTCTAAAATTCAAACTCAGCTTTTATAGTAACATTTAAAACAAAAAAATAGTAACATTCAAAACAAAAAGTAGTATCACTTATAAACAAAAAAAAATAGTAATATTCAAAAAAAAAATAGTAACATTGAATATTAATATTTAAAAAAAATAACAGTTGTAACATGGTCAAAAAAAAAAACGTAATTGAATATTGATATTTCAAAAAAATAATAACATTCAATATTAACAATAAGATGCTCAACACAAAATAGTAATATAGAAAAAAAATAGTAACATGCACAAAAAAAATAAAATAATAACATTCAATATTAAATTAACCATCTTCTTTTCAATAAATAAATAAATAAATATATATATATATATATATATATATAATCGAATCTATAATTTTTAATTGAGATCTGAAACAAGCCCTACAACCTGGATGTAGAAAATAAAGAACTTTTCGATAACATGAAATCAATGTATATGGGTCTTACATTAGATTTTTAGACAATGCAGTGAAAAACTTGTGGGCTAGTCAGAATATGTTGGCCCATACTTTTGTAAAAATGTATATAACATTCTTGATTTTCATGTTTCTTCTGAATCTTATTATCATTGTCGTCGTCTCGGGGGTTGTAGTATTGACGACTAGAATTTGCACGAAGTTGTTGTAGGAGAGATTGTTAGTAGAGGATGAGTCCAAAAAAACATATTGAAAAATATTTTGGGACCGTGAGACTGAAGTATTTGGTCGAGAAATAATTTGGGTATGAAGTTTTTTGGAGGAAAGTCACCGCACACGAGAGAGAGAGAGAGAGAGAGAGAGAGAGAGAGAGAGAGAGATGGAAGTGATGCTAAACTAAAATTAAAATTTTAGATTTTATGGAAAAAATCTTTCATTAAGTGTGCATCAAGGATAACTGTTTAGTAAATTAATTTAATGTTGAAGATTGTTTTTAAGTCATTAGAAATGTATTTTGGAGTTTTCAAAAAATAATGAACTTAATTATTTATTAATAAGATTAAAAATGGACTTACCCCCAAATAAATTTTTTTAACAGATCAAACTCATTATAAGTCCTTTAAGGAGGACTCAACCCCAATTTTTACTTATTTTTTTTATTTTATAACGTATTTTCTGCCTAAACTAGTAGCAGTGGGTAGGTTAGTAACGAACCGTGATACATTCGATTCATCTAAAGTATAACAACTTGCATTAACGTGTATTGAATCTCACATCAAAAATTTTGTAAAGTCCCAAAATCCACTATGGAAAGTATTACTATCTATGAACTATCCAACCATGAGAGCAACTAAAAATAATAATTAGATAATAAATCATTCATCCATCTGACAAAGAATAAATACTAAAACCAATAAAATATTAAAACTTCTCCAACTCACAAGTAAGAACCAAAGAATATCTGGTAGCGGAATAATAAAAACTAGTAAAAACATTGTGTCACAAAAATCTCTCCAAATACAATAATTAGAACTAAAATGACGCATCTTTAAACCTCCACTTTCAGGATCCTTATACTGATCTTCTCTAGTCTCGAGATCAACCTACTCATCTAACTTAACATCATCCTCTCTGCCAAAATCTATAATATGTTGTAGGGGATGAGAAAAGGCCCGTAAGAAATCCCTTTCAAATCCCAACAAGAATTAGAATAATAAAAGATGACAAGCCTTTTTTGAAAAATAACATATATACCGTTTGAAAGTAAAACAATGACAATTATAATGATCTAAAGTGTACAGACATACAATAAATCAAGGAAAAATACACATGTTATAATTAAAGCAATTAATCAATCACTCAGCACCATCATCCCATATTTTCACGTATGTTGGTTCATCCTCATTCTTATGTATGTTGGTTGCTTCTCAGGAATCTACACAATGATTTTACCTCGTTCATTCATCACAACCACTAAGGGTGCAACTCGGACAAGTTGGACAGTTAACCCTAGGTATATAATCTTCAACCCTAACCCTAACCCTAACCCTACCTCGGGTTGAGAAACTCAACCCGAGCACTGCCCGAGTTTAATTCGGGTGGGCTTGGGTTGAATTCGGGTTGATTTCGAGTTACTTTAAGAGTTCAATTCGGGTTGAGTTCTGGTAGAGCCCAAAATAGGTTTGTTGTTCTAAACCTAATAAATATATTACATAATATTCACCTAAATTAACAACCAATAACTTCAACCAAGTTTTTAACAGTGCTGATGCTAGAACAAAAATGAAAATGAACGAGAGAGACAGGAAACGATAGAACAAAAATGAAAAATCAATGCTAATATTATATATATAATTTTTTTTTTAATTTGTCGGGTTTGGGTTGAACCTGTGAACCCGAGGCCTTAACCCGAGCCCAACCCAAATTGAATTCGGGTTGAGATTTTTTAACCTAAGCCCAATCCAAATATTAAAAACTCTTACTCAAGCCCTAATTTTTTCGGATTGGGATCGAGTTGCCCAACCCAAGTTGCACCCCTAACAACCATACAATCTCAAATATTCACCACAGGGTCAAATCACACACTATTTTAGGAAGAGCATATATTGTCTTTCACAACATTAACAAATCCTTTTTAGAAAAGGTATACCGAAGTTATGTGAACAATAATGGTTACTCTCACAAACAATAATCAATTGCAAGTGTTAGGCAATTATCTCACCTCCACTGAGATAGACTAACCTCTAACACTCTACGACAGCTCTCAAAGGCAATTTAAGTTCATCACAACAAACCATACAAGAGATGATACCACAACTTTCTCAACAACCACATTCTTACCCAATCACAATTTTCATTATCAATTCAAGTATCATAATTTCACAATTCTTAATATACTACAATAATAAGGAATAAAATTATGCAAGAGGTTATCTCAAGAAAATATTCACAATTTTGATATCAAAATTCTAGGGTTTAGTCAAAAATCATAATTTCTTAGAACAAAGAACAAGTATTAGATGAAAACATAATTTAATAAAAATAAGAATTTAGAAATTAAGAATCCATATATTTTTTATAACCAAACATGTATTTAAGTATTCTTTGAACCCAAACATGTATTTTGTTTAAAACCATGTTTCAATGATAAAGAAACCAAGAACTCATAAATATTTATCATATAACTATCAAAAAGATTGAAAACATACATAGATAATATCATAAGTCTCAATAAAAAAACTCAATAAGAATTCTCTACCTTAATTTCATAGTTTGTGTGTAAACCTTGTGTGTTTAATCCGTTCCAACGTGTAAATCCCCTTTCAATCTTGTATTTCTCTTATTCTCTCTTGTTTTCTAAGGTTCTCTAGGGTTAAGAATTGATGGAATAGGGCTAAAGGAACGTCCTTATGGTATTTATAAGGTGAAAAACAGAGAAAAATCCTAAAACTGATCGGCACCATTTTTAGGGTAGCATTTGAACGGTGCTTGGGGCATTCGGACAGTGCAACTTCACTGTTTTGAATGAAAATTAAGGTTTTATGGTAAGGAGTACTGTTTGGACGATGTTTGGGGCGTCCAAACGGTGTCAACTTTTTATCCCAACTTCAAGAGAAATTTTCACCTATTTAGAAGTCGATTCAGGAAATTTTTGTGAAATACATTTTTGTAGTCCTTAAAATATAGTTTCTATTGTCCAAAAATCAGCAAAATTGAAATTAGGAGTACAAAGTTATGACTAAAATACTAAGATAGTGTCAAATTTCTTCCTATTCGAATTGTTCCTAAAATGCGTTTAAACTTTAGAATATTTTTTAATTTCTAATATATCTCATATTACCTCTCCCAAAGTTTCTTCACCTTCCGAATTTAATGAAAATCTTATTTTGATATAAAAATATTTAAAAACTTACCTAACCACCTTTCCTAAGCTTAAACGCTTTCGAAACTTAAATTTTACGATCAATTTGTCTCTCAAGTATTTATTCCTATTTTTACAATCTATATAGTTCATTCTTACGTCATTACATATATAAAAATTATTAAATAGTTACGTCACTATTTTAATATAAACGTGTGAGAGTTTACAAATTTATATGTGGGATCTTGGGTATACTTGTAGAAACACCGACTCCAAATAATAACTTCATAGTCTTTTTGGGAGAGTTTTAATGGTTATTATATATAGTATCAGAGTCGACCCGTGCTTACAATCATGTGGGTTCGGGGGTACTACAGTACAGGGTTTGACTAGGGCTGATCACAAGCTGATTATGGTATTTGTGATTGATTTGGATCATTCGCTCATGGGGCGTGAGAGAAACATAGGAGGAAAAATTATAACAATCCGCATTAGGGTGTATTGAATTCCACATTAACGTTTACCCGAGAAGTATGTGTAAAAACAATGACTTTAAATGATTACTCTTTGATTAAGCCATTTTGTTGGAGTTCACGTGGTTACTACATCAATAATATGTTATTATTTATTATTTATTTATAGTCAACTTTATATCACATCAAAAGATTGTGTCGTATCAAATATACTATAATGGTTGGATTAGATCAGCTGTCCATCTTACTTTTTTGGAAGATTACATTTTGATCCTCTACTCTATCACATTTTTGACATTATCTTCTGAATTATCATTTTTTTTATATTATACCTCCAATTATGTAATTAGTTTCACATAGTCCATATTGTTAGTGTTTATTATAAATTTAACAAAATATTATTTTATTTTGCCTAGACACATTAGTAATTTCCATAAAAACAAAAAGATAGAGAACATTTGTGTTTTGGGTAATATATGATAATTCGAGTAGTTGATGGGGTAATGTAAAAAATTCAATACTTCCAGGGGTAAGAAGAAATGGGTTTCATAATAAAGGGGTCAAAGTATAATTTATCTTTTTTTTTTTTTTTTGGTTTGGTTGTAACTTAACTGGACCATCGTCTATAAACTCGTTTGAAGCAGATTTTGGAAAAGAATCAAAGTCGTGAG